GCTTGTAGCTTTTCATCATCCCCTCCTGCACCGCCTGCAGCAAGACAGATGTTGAACCTCTGCTTGAACCGTTTCCAGTTATCAGCAAGATTACCGCTGAGCTGCATAGGTGATGGTGGATTTAACTTCTCCATGACGGGAAAACACTCAAAGTTCTCCTACTTTGTTTCAACGCTGACTCTCTGAACTGCTTTTGTGTGCTGCTCTGCACCCGGCTCACCTGACTGCGGTTAAACCAGCTGCTCTTCCTGAAACAACGGGTAATCTAGCCACTCTTTAAATTCTAATAGACGATGTTACTGATTACAGTTATACTCTTATGATTAATCTTACTTTTCATAAGGAGTCATGATCGTCACTCATGACCAGCCTCTAAGTGCTCCTCAGCTCACACATGGTAAAAGTGTCTTTTGGAAACACACTTGCTGGTGAATATACTGATGGACATTACAGCTTTGTCCCAAATGCAACAATTCATGCGTGTTGAAAAGTGAAGTTAATGTTGCAGCTCATGTCTAGTGAGTATATGAAAAGCAGAACTAAAGTCACATGATCTATGTTGCATTATTATTACTATTATTAAGTGTCATCATTTTTATTGAATTGAAAAGGAAGCTGTGTCACATTGCAATACGTTCAGAACAAGTTTGGCTCCTGAAGTCTACTGTTGTGTTGACTCGGTCCCTCAAGCTTCCTGGGGGTCATCTAACAAACTTCACATGAGCTGATAAAGTATAGAAACTGCCTTTAAGATCAAGATTAAGGCCAGGAGAAACTGTACAAATGTAAAACACATGCAGCAGTTTTTAATACATTCGTTTGTTTATTTGCATAAAATTTCATCTAAAGTAAAAGGCTACACACAAACACTGAGAAAATGGCTCCTAAGACAGATGACAATGATGATACTTGTCATGGCCTCTAGGGGCAGTTCCACCATGGGCCACTAGACGGCACCCGGACTCCCTGTGTAGAACTTTCTCTATTGTTTGCCTTATTTCATGTGTTGATAAGGCTCACCTGTTCATTATTTTCCTGATTTGCTTCCCTATTTAAGTACTGCTTAAACTTAAGTTTAACAGGAAGTTTCTGGAGTGGTGAATCAAACAAATCAAAACTTAAACAGTTTAATGCACTTAACAGATTTAAAAAAAAAAAAAAGACACAGTGTGCTAAATAGAAACCATTATAATGAAGCAAAATGTATGATGCAAGAGTATTATGTTTTGCACAATTTACATAGATACTGAGACACAAAGGAGAGTCATTAAAAACAGAAAAGATCACTTTATATTTGTCACCACAGACAATTCCCTGCCAGACCAGCAGAGGGCATCTCTCTCATAGTATGAATTTCTTCCTTGGCTGTTCCACTGAGTTCCTGTACACACCTGTCTTGTGTTTCTCCTGATTGGTTCCCATTTATAAGTTCTGTTTTTACCTTCATTAGTTGCTTAGCGGTTGTTTTCATGAGTTATCTAGTGTGTGAGAACTAGAAAGTAATGCAGCCTAAACATTGCTTAGTAGATTTTTCTATTTAATTTAACTGAATGTTGTTTGTAGAGGACTTTTAACATTAGACATTGTCACAAAGCAGCTTTACAGCTCTACCCCAAATTCCTACCAATATGCAAAGGAAAATAATTGTATTGTCCTGTACATGTATATGAGACAATAAAGGCCTTCTTTCTTCTTTCTGCAGAAATCTGGATGTAGATTTAGATCTCTAATGAGCAATTATCTGTAGACCAGCTGTAGTAGCAGCTTTATGGCACAAGATGTCTCCACTTAGGCACTTAACCAGAGCTCTATAATCAAAGAATAAACAAATAATTAAATAAACTAATCACTTATTTATATTTTAAGCTCTTTAAACTCTAATAAGTCATACTAATGATTACAATTATATGCCTATGATTAATCTGACTTTTGATAATTAGTCATGATCATCACTCATAATCTGCCTCTAAGTGCTCCTCAGCTCACACATGGTAAATGTGTCTTTATTGCTTCCTGTAAGTTTAGGGAAACACACTTGCTGGTGAATATACTGACGGACATTACAGCTTTGTCCCAAACACTAGAATTCATGTGTGTTGATATTAGTGAAGTTAATGTTGCAGCTCACGCCCAGTTTTGCTTTTCATATACTCACTAAAGTCACATGATCTATGTTGCATTATTATTATTACTATTAGTTGTTGTAGTGCTTTTTTTAAGATTTATAAAAAGTGTCATTGGTCATTTTTATTGAATTGAAAAGGAAGCTGAATCACACTGCAATTTGTTGACACCTAGGACAGATAACAATCGCGATACTGTGACAAAACCACCACATGAGAAAATATATGAATAGCTATTAATACTGCATATAAAAACAAATTAGGTTATGGAAAAAGTGATGAAAAGATTTTCCAAAAAGAGAAATGACATAGCGTTGTTGCGGTTTCCTAAAAACCAGACTATATAAAAGACAGACACTCAGGCAGTGTGACAGAGTGTGTGTGTGTTTCACTTTGAGGGACTGGTGTGTGTGTAGAAGAATCAGTAATGATGAAGTGCTTGTATCTTTTGTCTGTTGTGTTTCACGTCACTGCAGGTGAGTGAAGTTATTTTCTATTTTCTATTACAGAAAGGAGAGAGAATATTAGCCAGTTCTTAGTTCAGCTGCTTTGTGTTTAGTTCATGTGCTTTCTGTCCAGACTGGGTTTACAGTAGGCCGTAGTTCAGCCCTGT